CATAAAAGCAAAAGAGAAAGCATATAATGTGGCAAAGGGCAGTGGGAAACTAGAGGACTGGGAAGCTTACAAAGACCAACAGAGGGCAACAAAAAAAGAAATAAGGAGGGAGAAGATTAAATAAGAGGGTAAGCTAGCCAGTAATATAAATGAAGACTGTAAGAGTTTCTTTAGGTACATAAAGGTCAAAAGAGAGGCAAAAGTAGACATTGGACCACTGGAAAATGATGGTGGAGAGATGGTAGTAGGGAACAAGGAAATGGCTGAGGAACTGAATAATTACTTTGCGTCAGTCTTCACAGTGGAATACACGAGTAATATCCCAAAAATTCATGAGAGTCAGGGGGCAGAGCTGAGTGTGGACAAATCACCTGGACCAGATGGTCTACACCCAAGAGTTCTAAAGGAGATAGCTGAAGAGGTAGGGGAAGCGTTAGTGGTGATCTTTCCAGAATCACTGGAGTCAGGGAGGGTCCCAGAGGACTGGAAAATGGCTAACGTGACACCCCTGTTTAAAAAGGGAGTAAGGCAAAAGACGGAAAATTACAGGCCGATTAGCCTAACCTCAGTCGTGGGTAAGATTTTGGAGTCCATTGTAAAGGATGAGATTGCTGAATATTTGGAAGTATATAGTAAAATAGGGCAAAGTCAGCATGGTTTCATCAAGGGAAGGTCATGCCTGACAAATCTGCTAGAATTCTTTGAGGAAGTAATGAGCAGGGTAGACCAAGGAGAGCCAATGGATGTCATCTACCTGGACTTCAAGAAGGCCTTTGATAAGGTGCCACACAGGAGGCTGCTGAGTAAGATAAGGGCCCATGGTGTTAGAGGCAAGGTGCTAGCATGGATAGAAGATTGGCTGTCTGGCAGAAAGCAGAGAGTAGGGATAAAGGGGTCTTTCTCAGGATGGCAGCCAGGGACAAGTGGAGTTCCGTAGGGGTCAGTGCTGGGACCACAACTTTTCACTTTGTACATTAATGATCTAGATGAAGGAACTGTGGGCATTCTGGCTAAGTTTGCAGACGATACAAAGCTAGGTGGAGGGACAGGCAGTATTGAGGAGGTGGCGAGGCTGCCGAAGGACTTGGACAGGTTAGGAGAGTGGGCAAAGAAATGGCAGATGGAGTACAACGTGGGAAAGTGTGAGGTCATGCACTTTGGCAAGAAGAATAAAAGCATGGACTATTTTCTAAATGGGGAGAAAATCCAGAAGTCTGAAGTGCAAAGAAACTTGAGAGTTCTAGTCCAGGATTCTCTCAAAGTAAACTTGCAGGTTGAGTCAGTAGTCAGGAAGGCAAATGCAATGTTGGCATTTATTTTGAGAGGACTTGAATATAAAAGCAGGGATGTACTACTGAGGCTTTATAAGGCTCTGGTCAGGCCACATTTGGAGTACTGCATGCAGTTTTGGGCCCCATATCTCAGGAAGGATGTACTGGCCCTGGAGTGGGTTCACAAGAATGGTCCCAGGAATGGTAAGCTTGACATATGAGGAACGTTTGAAAACTCTGGGACTATACTCATTGGAGTTTTAGACGGATGAGGGGTGATCTAATTGAAACTTTCAGAATACTGAATGGCCTGGACAAAGTGGATGTTGGGAAGATGCTTCTATTAGTAGGAGAGTCTCGGACCCGAGGGCACAGCCTTAGAGTAAAGGGAAGACCTTTTAGAACGGAGATAAGGAGAAACTACTTCAGCCAGAGAGTGGTGAATCTATGGAATTCACTGTCACAGAAGGCTGTGGAGGCCAGGTCATTGAGTACATTTAAGACTGAGATAGTTAGGTTCTTGATTATCAAGGGGATCAAGTGTTACGGGGAGAAAGCGGGAGAATGGGGTTGAGGAACTTACCAGCCATGATTGAATGGCGGAGCAGACGCGGTGGGCTGAATGGCCTAATTTCTGCTCCTATGTCTTATAGTCTTATGGAGTAGACCATGTAACATATTCTTCATTGTCCACTGAAAAATTGCACAGGCTGGCAATACGCCAAATGGCAGTCTTGTATAAATTGTAGCATACTTCTGAGAATCCTCAACTAACTGCAACTGCAAGTATGTATGGCTCATGTCCAACTTAAAGAAGGACAGCCCACCCTACCGGCTTTACGTGGGATTAGGTATTTATCCAGCTGCAAAAAACGGTTTACTGCTTATTAGAAATTCCCACGAAGGCAAACCGACCTGTCGAGCTTCACAATTCGTAGACCAGTGCTGCCATTCTTCAAACAGGACTGGTTTGATGATTCCTTTGCTTTCCAGCCTCCTGATTTCTGCCTCTGCTCTTGTCTGTAATGCAAATGGCATTGGGTGGGCCTTGCAGAATCATGGAATTGCTTCCTGGTCAACACACATGGTAGCCTTGGCTCCTTTGATTGTCCCTCGACTTTCCTGAAAAATTTCTGGGTATTTAATTAGGACTTCACTCAGGCAGCCATTTTCTAATTCAACCAATCTAGCTGAATGTTTCTCAACTAATTTTGCTCCATCAGGATTGAGCCTTTTACTACAATCAGTGATAACGGAACCAGCTGTTTCTCAAAAGACTGGAACCTTAATCTCTAAAGGTTCCCCGGTATATGTTCTCAGTCTAGCTGAAGTCTTATGCAAACTTCATGGCTGGAGTCCAGAATGAATTTTCTTAAAGACTGGTTGTGTGATCACTGAAATGGCTGCGCTGGTATCCGGCTCCATTAGAACTGGGTGACCAGTTAACCAGACATTTATTTTGACTGGTTCTGATTTGGATGTTGCTGAGCAATTTAACTGTTCCAAACTAGTTGTGTGCACTAGTTGTTTGCAGTGTGTGCACTCTCCTGGATACTGGCCTATGAGTTCTCTTCCTCAATTTAGATCCAGTGGGACTCTTTTGATGGCTCGAATCCACATACGAGCAACAACTACAACGGCTTGCCGGCCCGGATCCTGGAGAAAATTTTAACCATTTGGCCGAGAACTGACTTTGTTTTGGGGTTTTGCTGTGGGCTGACCTAGAGTCCCTCTGTTCAGGTTATGTCCTGAGTGAGGCTATGCAATTGCCTTCACTCAAGTGGTGCTCCTAAGCTCAGTTGGAGTAGCAAGCGTGTTAACTTCCTTCAGAATACTCTGCAACTCAAACTCCCCCTGCTGTATTTTCCAATGATAAAGACAGTTGTATTGCCTGTTTGAAGTCCAGTTGGGCTTCAGCTAGTAGGCACTTTTGCATGATTACATCATTAATCCCATATACCAACCCATCTCTCAGCAAGAGAGGAAAGATTTAAAAGCGACCTAAGTGGCAACTTTTTCACACTAAAATAACTCCAGAGAGACTGATATCCTATCACCAAGTCAACCTTTATTTACATGTGGATAGTCCTTGACACTGCTCCAGCTCCTTCAGAGCTAGCTGTCAGAATGAACAGGATGTATGACACTCCTGTTATTATCTGTCAGCCATGGGTCCTTGATTGGACCAGTTAAATAATGGTCCACCTGGCTGACTTTGTTACAAGTACTACACTGACTGGCATGGACAGACACTGTTACATATCTATGCCAATGGAAGAATATTGGCCATTAGTCTGATGCCTATTGGCAAGACCATTGTCAGTTTAACCGCTCAAACTATCAAAGATAATGGTATCCTCATATTTTAATGCTACTTTTTACATCCCACTTCCCTGCTATCCCATATTCTTCTGATTTACAAAGAGGCTTTGGTGTAAGCATGCACCTCTACCTTTCTCCCTCTCCCTACACTACAAGGAAAACTTGTGCCTTTCTCCTTTCAGATACCCAAGAAGTGCTTCCTGATCCCCCAGGCAGTACAGCAGCAGCAAGAACACAGTGATGATGAAGACACAGCACCATCACTTTGCTTCACACTCTCAGCCACCAGTTAAGAGGGTCAAACAATCAATATTTACAAGGCAATACAGAAGTGAGATCTGCATGTGGTGAAACACGATTCTACACAGGTCCAATCTTCGAGAAATGGCACCTTATGTTTTGATAAGACGTTTGCAGTCTTCCTGACCTAAAGCAGGGATCATGTCAGTGATTTTTAAGTACAAACATCCTAGTGTCTATGTCAAGCACAGTTAAAGGACATATCATATGCCCTGCCTGCCTGTCATTTATTGCCACAGGAGGCCAAATAGTTTCCGAATAACATGCCAACTTTATTTTAATGTCTTTAAGCTTTGAATGTCAATAAAATCATTTTCATTGTTTTAGAAAAAAATAATTTTTACATGGAAAACTTAAAACTTGACAAAATTCACTCAGGGTAATGTCATGAAGATGTGTTATCGAAAATATTAATTAATATTAATTAATTAATTAGCAGGACATATAAGAATTCCAAACACCACTGTACACCTTTGTCTCCAAAAAAGAGAATTGAACTAGCCCTGGCTGATCCAGGAAGAAACCTCAATGCCAATAACTTGTGTGGAAAATGAATTTGACTGCAGATCAGTAGATGGACAAACTCTGAACATGTCTTTTTTCCAGTAAGTAACTTTTACTAGGCTAAAGCACTTCTAAGTTAAAACTTTGCAGCATTATTTTACCCCAGAGTTGGAAGAGTGTGTGTATTCACGCATTTTTAAAATATTAAATAATGTTTGCTTCTGCAAGATATTTTTACAATAACCTAATTTGAATCTGTTAATTTAAGGAACTTGGCAGATTTGTTTCTGATTCTGAGCTATACACAGTCTACTATATAGTTGGGAATATCACCTCGCTTTTAAATTCAAACTTTGTTGTGGACAGTGAAAGAGTGGTACCTGGAAAGGAAACAGTCCATCTCTCCTCACTGTTGTAATACTTTCAAGCATGAAATAATAACATTCAAAATACTGCAGCTGATTCAGTATCTTGCATTATATACATAGATATAAAATTATTTCCATTCATCATTAAAACCTGTCTTATGCCAGGTTAAATTTCATTTTATTCCAAGAACGGCAGAACAAAAAAGACTGAACTGAGAATCTTATTTGCACCCACCTTCTTTTGCTATATCATAAGCTTTTCTCAGACTTTTGTTTGCCTCTTTATATTGTTCACTTTCAAGCTGTTCATCTGCTAGCAATGTGTAAATCCTCCAGAGGTTTGCACAGGCCTGTGCAAAGTGGCAGCAACCATTTTCATCATGCCATGTCTTTCCCACAGTGAGTTGATGGAATATCTCATAATGTTCAGCAGCTTTATCCAGTTGACCTGTAATATCCAAATCATTCACAAATATTAAGTCAATTCAGTGACTCCTTTTAGCTTTCAGAGATGTTTGATTTATGTGTAATTTAAGTGAATAAAATACAAATCAGAAAACACAAGTTTCAATACAAGATATCAGTTTTCCTCAAAAGCTTACATTATTGTCTTGAATAATTTACCTTAACCTTTCAAAGAAACTTCTGAATTCCAAACAGTTTTACATATTTTTGCAAACAATTTACCAAAGCTTATGTTCTATCATGTCATACAGAACACAAAGTTCAGGAAGAGCATTCTCCCTTTTTCACCTGAGGCCTTTGACGTAGTAAAATTGATTAGCAACTTCAGATGGCTTCATTTACATATTGTACATTTGTGCACATTGATAAATTGGTTATGAAAACACTAAACAAAGCTTACTTAATGGAAGATGAACATACAGACAAATAAAACGTTTTGTATTCGAATGTCAATTTTCAGCCAACCAGCCTTTGCTGAGTTTAGCTAAGTTTACTTACTAACTTTAAAATAAATTAACTAAATATATTTGATATTGAATAAATGCACAAATTGTTTATTTTCACAAAAAAAAAGCCTGAAAGCATAGGACAAATCTTCTTTAAAGTATAAAATAACAGTTTAGTCACACATGCTAAATTCTATCCCAAGTCCACAAACAGTAATTAAACAAATTGCCATAATCTGTTTCCGTGATCTAGAATGACCGAGAAAACCTATTTGCTCTTTCTTATATGGTATCAATGGATTCTTCACGCTCACTTGAAAGGCCTTAGTTTACAGAACTTCATTAGAAAGTTGATACCTATGACACAACATTACTTCATTACTGCAATAAGGTATCAACATAGAGAATCTGTTCAAGCCTTTGGCTGAGGGTGGAATTTTAAGTTTTGATTGAGTGTTGAGTTTAAAGTCAATGGCTTGAAAATCCATGGCCTAGTGAAGCATTTTCTATCTTCTTCAGCAATTTTGCACCAATAGAAGCTCCTGACAAAAAAAGCATAATGAAGTGGAAATAATGTTTACATGTTCTCCTAACAGCAATGCTTTTCAAAAATGGAGGCATCATAGTGGCGTTGTAGATAATGATAGAGTGCATTATCAATTGGATACAAAATTTGCTTCACGGTAGGAGGCAAACGATGGTGGTAGAGGGTTGTTCAGGCTGGAGGCCTATGATCACCTGTCTGTTGCAAGGATCAGCGATGCGTCCACTGTTGTTCTTCATTTAAACAAACAATTTAGATGAGAATAGAGGAGGTAAGTTTGCGGATGACACCAAAATTGATGGTATAGTGAACAGTGTAGAAGATTATCTAAGAGGACAATGGGATCTTGATCAACTGAACCAGTGAGCCAAGGCATGGCAGATGGAATTTATTTCAGATAAAAGCAAGGTGATGGATTTTGGTAAGACAAACCAGGGCAGGACTTACACAGTTAATGGTACGGCCCTGGGAAAAGTTGTCGAACAGAGAGACCTAGGGGTGCAGATGTATAGTTCCTTGAAAGTGGCATCACAGGTAGACAGGGTGGTGAAGAAGTCATATGGCCTTCATTGTCAAAACATTGAGTACAGGAGCTGGGATGTCATGTCACAGCTGTACAAGACATTGGTAAGGCCACATTTGGAGTACTGCATACAATTCTGGTTGCCCTGATATTGGAGAATGTTATTAAACCGAAAAGGATGCAAAAAAGATTTACGTGGATGTTTCCAAAACTTGAGGGTTTGAGTTATAAGGAGAGGCTGGGATTTCTTTCCTTGAAGCATAGGAGGCTGAGGAGTCACCTTATAGAAGTTCATAAAATAATCAAGGGCATAGATAAGGTGAATAGCCAAAGATTTTTCCCCAGGGTATGGGAGTACAAAACTAGATGGCATAGGTTTAAGGTGAGAGGGGAAATATTTAAATGAGTTCTGAGGAGCAATTTTTTCACATAGACGATGGAACAAGCTGCCAGAGAAAATGCTAGAGGCAGGTACGGTTATAACATTTAAAAGACATTTGGACATGTACATGGATAGACAAGGTTTAGTGAAATTATGGACCAAAGACAGGCAAATGGGACTAGTTCAGTTTAGGAAACCTGGTCGGCATGGATGATTTGGATCGAAAGGCCTGTCTGCGTGTTGTATGATTCTCTGACATAAAATTAAAGCAGGAGTTGGCCTTCAGCCTTTTCAGCATGTTCTTCCATTTGACTCAATCACAACTGATCTTCTACATTGCCATTTTCCCCATATCTTTTTTTACTGTCTAGAAATTTCTTGATGTCTGTTTTGAATATACTCAATGGCTGAACCTCCATAATCCTTCTGGGTAGAGAATGCCAAAAGATTTGCTAACTTCTTAGTGAAGAAGTTTTCATCCTGTCTTAAATTACCTACCTCTTTCACTGAAACTGATCTCCTAGTCCTAGACACTCCAGCCAGGGGAAATATTATTCCAGCATCTACCCTGTCAAGCCTAGAGAGAATTTTGTATCTTTTAATGAGGTCACCTCTCAATCTTCTAAATTCTATAATATTCAGGCCCAATCTCCTCAAAAGACAATTACTTTATCTTAGGATCAGTCTAATGAACCTTTATTGGGCTTCCACTATGACAAGCATATCTTTCCAGTGCTAAAGAAGTCATAACGGACTCAAAACATTAACTCTTTCTCTCTCTCCAGATGCTACTTGACTTGTTTGGTTTTTTCAGCAGTTTCTGGTTTTATTTCAGATCTCCAGCATCCATGGTATTTTACTTTACTTTTACTTCCTTAGGTAAGGGAATAGAATCTGTATACAATAGTCCTGGTGCAGTCTCATTAAGGTTCTATTAAGTTCTATGCGACAGCAACAAAACTAGGCCCAACTATCTTCAGTGGCTTCATTAGCTGGACCTTCCCTCCATCATAAGTTTACGAGGATATTTGGCGATAACTGCACAATGGTCAGCACCATTCATTACTCCTGAGATACTGAAGCAGCCCATCTTCAAACACACAAGACCTGGATAATATCCAAGCTTGGATTAAAAAGTGCCAATTAACATTCATGCCATATTGACAGATGGACACCCAAAATTGTATTCACCCTAGACCTCTGATTTCATTGAGAAACCCCTGGACATTCCTGACTGCTCTGTTTGCAGCTCTCCACCTGATAACACTTAATTCTCCTGAATGTTTGTGCTGGTCATACAGAACTGACCATTACCCTCTCCCTGGACTGTACTGGGACAGATTCCTTGACCATGTGTCCCAAGCATGCTGATCATGGCCAAGCCCCTGGACTGTGCTCATCACTGACAGTACTTGGATCCCCTGGCAGACAGAACACCTGAATTCACCTTGCCCCTTGACCGGAATGAGGATTAGCCCCCACTCACTTTCCCACATGAACCTTAGATTGAATATAGATAGAGTCTATTGGTAAAAGACAGCAAGATACTACCAACATCAAGAAAGGCCCTGATGGACTTCCAATCAGCTGCAAATCACACCATAGTCCATGTCTATCAGATCCTTACAAATTGCTAAAATTGTTTAGTCAGTGGTCAGGGACAGCATGATGTGACTGAGAATCACACAAACATGAGAAACCAGATCTAGTCGTGAAAGAAATCTACTCCTTGACTCTGATTAGCCGGTATGAGGTAATTGTTTTCTCTGTGGATGGGTACAAGGACTACAAGTGGATGTGCAAAGCAACCGCAGCATTACAGTGCAGGAGTCCATTCAATTCTTGGGAGAGAAAAGGAATGTGGTAACAATAGGGAATAGTAAAATCAGAAGAATAGATATTTTTAACTGCAGCCGCAACTGAGAGTTCTGAACTAATGACATAGGTAGGAAATAGGAATGCTGTTTGTCTGAAAGGATTTAAGAATTTGGAGTTGGGGTTCAAATTAAATAAAACCTCAAAAGTAATAATCCTTGGATTGTTACCTGAGCTAAGCCACCTTCCCATGAAAATGTACAGGTTTGAAGATTCTAGAAGAATATCTTACTGTGAGTGTGGTCAAGGAGGAAAAGGTTTTGTTCATGGACCTCTAGCAACAGTATGAAGAAAAGAGGGAGCTATTCTACTGGAAAATGCTCCACTTAAACCGGGCTTAGACCATTGTTTTGTGAAACAAACAATAAAGTTAGTGACCTGGGGGCAATTGTGTCTGGACAGCTCAGAAATACTGAGGGCCTACGTATCAAGGCAAGGGAGCTGCTCTCGTATTGAACTTCCAAGGTTCAGAAAACACAGGTCGGGTGGAGGTAGAGGGGCTGACCATCTCTGGGTTGTCCTGAGAAGAGACTTCTAAGGGGCCTATTCTGGCTGGGAGGCTCCTGGCACCACTCTGTCTACTCATGAGGAAAGGGTACCTGGAGAACATGCCAGGTCTTCTTTGCCCTTGTTCCCTTGCCTTCAGCCGTAAGGACCAATCGCTACGGCAATACAGTACAGATATGTGCATGTATTCAGCATGTATCCTGAAGGTTCTGGGTCCAGTTGTCCACAGCAGCCACCAACCCGTTCATGGGGGCAGCTAGATGATAGTATGCTTAAGGCAGAGATGAACACAGCAGGCCAAGCAGCATCAGAGGAGCAGGAAGGCTGACATTTCGGGCCTGGACCCTTCTTCAGAAATCAGGCAGTTAGTTTCCCATATCATAGTTCCTACAGCTACTGAGCTCTGAGGCTCATTGCCTTCCACATGCCTATCTGATCCTCATGTTCCTGTCTATGTATTTGAATGAAGTACCTGATTGCTGACACCACATAGTCCACTCCGTGGGGCTCAACAGGTACCTGGTCTTTGACAGTTGTCCAAAGCAGTGGTCCATAGTGTTTCTTTGGCCATCTATAGTGTGGTCTCAGTGAGGTGCTATGAGCATGTGCTCCCACATGTTCTAAGCCAAACATTCTTGCTGAGGTGTCAGTATCTGAGCTATTAGGGTGCGGCTGCAGGAGTTAACCTTGCCAATGCTTCCTCTGA